AAAAAAAAAAAAAAAAAGAAAATCCACATAAGGCCCCTGTGTGTGGCTTAGTAACATAACAGTCATTGCTGCCAGCTTAGCAGCAGGTGGATTTCCCAAATCCACCTGGGAAACCTAAGGGGACGGAATAGATGGAGCAGAGGGTAATCAGCAAAATACAAACCAAACTAAACATACCTCCCTGGCCTCCTTCCATAAGGTCAGAGGTTTTAAATATATAAAGATCAAGAGTTTGAGGTTGCTGTGAGCTGTGACAGCACAGTACTCTACTGAGGGTGACAAAGTGAGACTCTGTCTCAAAAGAAAAAAAAAATCTTTAAAGAATAGAACATAGCTTTTCTCGGAAAAAGCTGCAAGGCAATTTCCTAAATGAATGGGAAAAGTGTTACATTGTTCTCTGTGAATTGTTTTTTACACACCAGTTAATGAGCATAATTATATATTATGTACCAACCAAACAACAGAAATGAGTTATGGTATATACACTTTACTCCCAGTAAATAACTCATTTCATCAGGATTTAGGTAAAGAAGTTAGCCTCTCTTTTACTCTGAAAAAAGATCAAAAGTTGAGTTAAGGCCGGCTTTTATATATTTCTCCCTCCCAAATGGTCGTTAAAGCACTCTTTAAGAAAAGACACAAAATTAATGCCATTGATAAGAATTTATTCTTCCCTTAAATAAGACTATAGTGCTGTGAATTATCTGTTTATAATTACAATTCCAAGATTTAAGCTAAGAATTTTTTCCCATCAAGAATAAGACTCTTATCTAAAAAAGGCCAAGGGAAAAAATTCAAAGCTATCCAAAATAGAAAGGTTCAGTAGCAACAACTGACGTTACCCTTTAGGCACAGAATGTACTAATCTACACAGGCTCCTCCTCATACAGCATACGCTGCATTTAGAGATTTGACACATGAAGCTTTCTCCTGAGGGCACAGACAGACAACATTTACTTTGTCAAATAGGCTCAAGGTTTTAGTTTGGAGGACCATTTGTTAACGACAGGTGCACTTAGTAGCTATCATGTCTTCATATTCTTTATAAGCAATTGAACCATCAGGCTCAATGGTCAAAACACTCAACGGGCTGTATTTGGCAGGAACACACGATGGTCTCGGCACTGAGGGGTCGAGTGTCTCATAGATGATGTTCTGGACCACGGTGTGAACTGGAGAGCCATACCGATGCCGAACTGCCCTGGGGCAGTCCCCTTTACAGTACCGAGGGTTATATCTGTGCGGGGCCACGATCCAGTTGTCCCATTTCAGCTGACTAAAGCTAAGTCTAAAGTCATGGAGCTCACACTCATTTTCGGGAAAAAGAAATTGTTTGAAGTATTGACTCAGATTCAAGGAAGCTGGAACCAGGGGCTTCTTCAGTTCAGAGACGGCAGTTTCCTGACCTCTCCGGTGACGGGAAAATCTCCCATCCCTAGCAGCCTCTTCCCCCACAGGATAGGTAGACAGATTGCTCTTCTGGTCAGGAACCTGCAAAGGCCTCCTTTCGTAGTGAAGGGAATACCACCTATGATAAGCTTGAGCACTTGTGTCATTCAGATATAAGATCAGGGAGGGGAACACCAGAAGAGTCATGTTAAACGGGCCATCCTGTGCCAAAGGAGGCTGCAGGTGGTCTCTCGGGCAGGTAAAATTGACAGACATGTGAATCTTCTTGTTGGCGGCCACTAGAGGCTGAAGGAGGGTGGTTATGTCAATCTCAATCCATTTATGTTTCTTTTCAAATTCAAACTGTGAGTTAAAAGTAAAGGAATGTGGAGCTCTAGAGAGAGTCTTGCCAGAAGATTTTGGGTCTTTTATCACCAGGTTGCATACACATTTAATAGGAGAGGAAAAGGAAACTGAGTTGTTGATAGTGTACAGCAAGACTGACTTGAGTAAGTGTTCAACAGCGGTAACACGATCCAGGTTAAACAGCAGATCCCCTGATGGAAGGATTCCTAAGAAGAGAAACAATCCACCAGTAATGCTTGAACATGAATCAAACATAACAGAAAGTCAAGGAACTAGTACTTCATAATATGTTTTCTCCCTTACCCCCAACCACTACCACACTTTCTCAGGCCTCAATAAAGTAGGAAGGGGTTCATATAAAAAGAACATAACTAGCCCCACGCCTATAATCCCAACACTTGGGAGGCCGAGGTGGGTAGATTGCCTGAGTTCACAAGTTTGAGACCAGCCTGAGCAAGACCTTGTCTCTAAAACCATAGCTGGGCATTGTGGCAGGTGCCTGTAGTCCTGGCTACTTGGGACGCTGAGGCAAAAGGATTGCTTGAATCCAAGAGTTCGAGGTTGTTGTCAGCTAAGATGCCACGGCACTCTACCAAGAGTGACTAAGTGAGACTATCTCAAAAAGAAAAAAAAAAAAATAACTAATTCCCAGCAACAACACCAGATATTTTATTTCCAGAAAGACAGATTTGGGGAATTAAAACAGGGAATCATTAAATTCCAAAGTTTTACTCTTAATAATTTGTTCCAAATGCATAGGAAGCTAATAAGGAAAGTATTTTTCTCTCAGAGTGTCTCTAGACTCTAGAGCCTACATGGAAAACTATAATAAAAAATATCAGTCTTGTTAAAATGACATTTTAAGCCCTATTGAAGTCAATTAAAAACCATCGTCCAAGTTAATCAAGAACACTTGAGATTAAAAACAGATGCTCTGGCTTGGCACCTATAGCTCAACCGGCTAAGGCGCCAGGTTCTAATCCCCAGCCCGGACCCGCCAAACAACAATGACGGCTGCAACCAAAAAATAGCCGGGCATTGTGGTGGGCACCTGTGGTCCCAGCTACTTGGGAGGCTGAGGCAGGAGACTCGCTTGAGCCCAGGAGTTGGAGGTTGCTGTGAGCTGTAATGCCACGACACTCTACCCAGGGGGACAGCTTGAGGCTCTGTCTCAAAAAAACAAACAAACAAAAAAACAGATGCTCTAAAGCCACTGTAATAAAATATTAAGGGAGGAGATAGAGTTTTAAATAGCCACAACTGCCCTGTTGGGTTATAATGATTTTTTTTTTTTTAAGTTATAAACCAGTAAGTACACTATTCTGTAAAGCACAGATCCTCTCTCATACCGGCAAGACACTAATCGGCTGAGTCAAATTGTCGACTGACACTTTGTTCCTGTAAGGACCCACTGTTCCAAGTGGGAACTTAGGCTTTCTTCTCACAGAAAGCAACAAACAAGGAGAAAAGATCCATTTTAACACAGCACACCAACAGCTGTATGAGATATTGTAGGCACATTTCTGGGCCAAAAGCATGGTGGATGGAAAGAGAAGTTAACCTCCAGCAGCACGTCCCTTGTAACTTTAAAATTTTTATCATATTGGCCCACCTCAACTAATAAGGGGATTAGGAAGAAACAATAAGATTGAGTACATGCAAAGTAAAAATGCAATTCAAGGAGCTAGACCCAGCTCCTTTCTGTAACTGAAATCCAGTACCTTCTATCATTTTTCCTCCTCTCAGTGAACCAATCTGCTCTTACACACCTGTCACCTGGTCTCCAGGAGCCTGCTTGTGCTGGGCACAGGGGGTGAAGAGCCGAATAGTATTGTAGAGGTGACTTCTGTTGGATTTGGGAATCCCTTCCTTAGTAGCATATTCCTTATAGAGCTTCTTCATGTATTGCAAGGCTCTGGAGTCTGGCTGTAGTCTAGGTGCCCCACCTTGCCCATCAGATAGGACTTTGAAGAGTGGGGGAAGGAGGCCAGAGCTCTCCCTCCTGTCTGCAGGCTGCAGCAAGGACCAAGGCTCAGCCTCAGATTCCAATTCAGAACTAGCTGAAATCTGAGCTTCTCTCCTAGAAGCCTGAGAACCAAGGCTACTAGAAAAACATAGCCAGGCAAAACAGCAAAACCGAAGGAGGAATTCACCAGGAAGTGCCATGGCTTGTAAAATCTAGGGAGGAACACATTTCCCCATGCCAGTCTTCTTTCTAAAAGTCAGGAAGGCCCTACCTTGGTCTCTTAAATAAATTTTAGGTGTGCGGGTGGATTAGCATCACTTCTGTAATCAGGCCTCAAAGATGCCTAGCTGAAGATAATTTTTATCAGCTCTATATCAAACAGCTGATAACACCCTACTTAGCCAATTTGCCCTCATTAGATACAGATTTATTTGGTTATTTAGTTTTCTGCTACCTTTTCCCCAGGCAGTTCACTTAAAACCTGTTGTTATACTAATGGACCAGCTATATATCTCAAAGTCTAAGAGAAACTAAGGAAGGATCTTAAACTATAACCTTTTATTTTTTGAGGGAAATTAAGATTCCTAAGATGTTTATAGGTACTTGCTGAAAAGAGGTGTGGAAAAGCTAATTATTCACGATGATACTCAGATGTTGGTATGCAATTTATGGTATTAAGTTTACCCTTCCTCTTGATTCATCCTCACGACCGCTCCCAGTTCCAGGTGCCTTGACTTATTCCATGTTGGCTTGGATGAGGAAGGTCACAACTGCATAGAAATTACAGAGAGCAGAACACTGGTAAGTTGTTGGTCTTTCCAGGTGCCCTAATATAGACTGTGTACTTGGAATATTGCAATTGCATTTGTAATGTGCTTGAAAGAAAAGGACAGCACTTTGAACCTTGATTAAAAATATAATATCTTTATTTCCTTCCTTTGTTTAGTCTGCACACTCATCTATACATATGTTGGATGATTTTTTTTTTCTTTTTTTTAGAGACAGTCCAACTTTGTCGCCCTCGGTAGAGGCCATGGCATCACAGCTCACAGCAACCTCCAGCTCTTGGGCTTAGGCAATTCTCTTGCCTTAGCCTCTGGAGTAGCTGGGACTACAGGCGCCCGCCAGAACACCCGGCTATGGATTAAAGATTTTGAGATGTTTGGAAGTGTGATAAAAAAGTGCTTAATTTTTTTATTAACCACCCAAATGGTGGTAAAACTTCCTGTGGTATTTCTGTTCTTGCTTTGAGTTGAGACCAGGCTATTGCATTTTATTTTTTTGAGACAGAGCCTCAAACTGTAGCCCTGAATAGAGTGCTGTGACATCACAGCTCAGCAACCTCCAGCTCCTGGACTCAAGCAATTCACCTGCCTCTGCCTACCAAGTAGCTGGGACTACAGGTGACAGCCACAACAACGCCCAGCTATTTTTTGGTTGTAGCCATCATTGTCGTCTGGCAGGCGTGGGCTGGATTCAAACCCACCAGCTCAGGTGTATGTGGCTGGCGCCTTAGCCACTTAAGCCACAGGCGCCAAGCCTGCCTTTTATTTTTTATTTTATTTACTTATTTTTTTGAGACAGTCTCACTTTGTCACCCTCAGTAGAGTCCTGTGACGTCACAGCTCACAGCAACCTCAAACTTGGGCTCAAGCGATTCCTTTGCCTCAGCCTCAGGAGTAGCTGGGACTACAGGCGCCTGTCACAATGCCCGGCTATTTTTAGAGATGAGGTCTCGCTATGTCTGGCTCAGGTTGGCCTCTGAACTTGCGAGCTAAGGTGATCCTCCCACCTCGGCCTCCCAGGCTATTGCATTTTATAAAAATGAGGCAAAGGTGCACCATGATAAGCTGAAATGAGTGTCACCCGCAAGCAGCCTACTCCCCCCTCCCATAACACATGACAAAAACAATTTGTGCAGTACCTAGGCCGATTAAACTAAGGTAGGGCTGCAAAATGCACGGTTACCGCCTGCCAAGTCTCCCTAGTCTGTAGCTAGTAAGCAGGGTGATAAAACACACCCAAATTGCTGAATTAGAGTTTAGTGACATTTAGTTTAAAACATTTTCAGACAATGCATGGAGCACAGAAAAGCGTCTCCGTGCAGAGTTGCATGTTAGGGAAAACACAATGACGCCTCACACCGGACGTTCCTTGCCTCTCCCCAGAGTGTGTAAAGGACAATTTGAGCGTCAAGAGACACGTCCCCCGGCCCCTCCTCAAACCATGCAGGCGGGAAGCTGGCTGTTGTCGAGGTGGCCTTTTCTTTCTTTCTACCGCCACTAACAGTGTTGATCAATTGCTTGACGATTATTTGATGACTTCTGTGGCCAAATGTGAGGAAACGTTTGGAAAACGTTTAAAGCCTCCCATCGGATTCTAAAACACGTTATCTAGAGAAGCCTTACATCTGTGACCCTGATTTTGGTACTGGGGTGGCTGACAGCCTGAAAATAACGGAGCCCCCTTTTGGCTGTTATTTGTCAAGACCAAATAAAACCTCGCGTTCTGCCGAGGCGGGATGGCCTAGCCTCCGGACTCACAGGCACCCTCCGAGCTGGGAGGACCGGGGTCACCTGGGTCCTAAGTCTCACTTTATCGTCCTCGGTAGAGTGCCGTAGCGTCACACTGCTCACAGCAACCTCCAACTCCTGGGTTTAAGCAATTCTCTTGCCTCAGCCTCCCGAGTAGCTGGGTATACAGGCACCCGCCACAACGCTCGGCTATTTTTTTGTTGCAGTTCGGCCGGGGCTGGGTTTGAATCCGCCACCCTCGGTATATGGGGCCGGTGCCCTACTCACTGAGCCACAGGCACCACCCTTTTCTTTTTAAATTTCAGATTAATACGAGAGTATAAATGATTAGGTTACGTTGTGTATGTTTCTTAGGTAAAGTTCAAGTTGTAGTGTAGCCCTTCACATTGTGCCAGTTAGGCGACAACTTACCAGTCACCCTCCCACCTCCCCTTTCTCCTACCCTCTCCACCTTTTCGTCCTGTGGGACCAGGTCATTTCTCTCCATTTTGGGGGGTGGGGCAAGGACATCTTCCCCTGGGACAACAGGAAAATGGTATCCTCCGGAAGTGATCTCATGCCCTCCCGGAGCGGCTTCCGATCCCACCGGAAGTTGCGAACGGAGGCCGGTGCTGCGGTACTGTGGAGGTCGTGGTGACCCTGGTGCGGGAGTGGGGTCTGGCTGCGCAGTGTTGGTGGCTGTTGAGAGGGCAGAGGGGCAGCCTGGGCTGTGGGAGGATGAGAAGTGCCAGGACGGGCATCTGTGGTTGTGGACCCGTCCCGAAACCGAGCCAAGCGCTTGTCTGCCTCTCTGTCCTGCAGGGCTGCCGCCACGATGGGCCGCGAGTTTGGGAACCTGACGCGGATGCGGCATGTGATCACCTACAGCTTGTCACCCTTCGAGCAGCGCGCTTTCCCGCACTACTTCACTAAGGGAATCCCCAACATGATTCGCCGCATTCAGGCATCTTTCCTTCGGGTGGCGCCGCGTGAGTGCCTCGGGCCGGCGAGGGGTGGGCAGCTGGACTCGACAGTGGTAGTGACTGCGGTCCCCTCTGTGGGCGCTCACTGTCAGGCAGGGGTTTGTAACTGTGCACACCTTTCTCATCGAATATTCCTACACCCCTTGTGCTAGTCGTAACATCCACCCCATCTTAAGGGGAAAACTGAAATGACTGGTTTAAGGTCGTTTGGGTCACTCCACTGTCCTTCCCTTAAGTCATCTTTATCCATGTGTCAGTGGAAATGTTTTAAGTGTGGGGCGGCGCCTGTTTCTCAGTCAGTAGGGCGCCGGCCCCATATATGGAGGGTGGCGGGTTCTAGCCCGGCCCCAGCCAAACTGCAACAAAAAAATTGCCGGGCATTGTGGCGGGCGCCTGTGGTCCTAGCTTCTTGGGAGGCTGAGGTAAGAGAATCACCTAAGCCCCAGAGCTGGAGATTGCTGTGAGCTGTGACGCCATGGCCCTCTACCGAGGGCGACAAAGTGAGACTCTTTGTCTCTTAAAAAAAAATGTTTTAAGTGTGCAGGTGATAATGATGATAGTTGCACGGCCTAATGAATATGCTAAGAACTGCGGAAGTATATACTTTAAAATGGTGAGGTTATGTGAATTTTATCTCAATAATTTCGCTTTAAAAGTTTTTTTTTTTTGAGACAGAGCCTCAAGCTTCCCCCCCCCCCCCCCCGGACAGAGTGCGGTGGCATCACAGCAACCTCCAACTTCTGGGCTCAAGCGAGTCTCCTGCCTCCACCTCCCAAGCAGCTGGGACCACAGGGCCTGGCTGTTTTTTGGTTACAGCCCTCATTGTTGTTTTGGAGGGCCCAGGCTGGATTTGAACCTGCCACCGTAGGTGTATGTGGCTGGCGCCTTAGCCTCTTGAGACACAGGCCCCGAGCCTAAAAGTTATTTTAATGTGCAGCCAGGGAGAGGTAGGGAAGCATCAGTGACCCATTTTTGGGGGTAGACCTCCTTCTTTTGGTCAAATGGGTGATTTTTTTGATCTTCCAGTTCAAAAATGGGTTCTTGAAAACTAAGAGAATAGGAGGGCAGAATCTGTTGTAGAACATAAAAGAGGACTGAGCTTTTGTTCATATGTGTCTTATAAATATACTTATTCTCACTTTTGATTTTTAAAGCATTTGTAGTGTTTTATCTTGTCTACACATGGGGGACTGAGGAGTTCGAGAAATCCAAGAGGAAGAATCCAGCTGTCTATGAAAATGACAAGTGAGCAACTCATGATGATGTTTCCCTGTTTCTGATATGACAGAACTGGAGTCTGCGTTGTAGTATCTTGAAGACACAATAAATGTCCAGTGGGCAGCATTGTTGTGATTTTACATTTTCGTGAGGAGAATCTTCCATTTGACTGCTAAGTTCCTGAAGCTCTGCTCCTCAGCATGAGTCCTTGAGCAGTTTTCCCTAGTCTGAAGTTTTGGTGAAGGAGTAGAGCTCACCTGTTTGTTCCATAATCTACAAAAGTAACTGTAGCTACTCCTGCAGCTAGCCATCTGTGGGTGGCATGGGCCATGGGGAGTGTTGGTTTGTGGCCCTCTTCTCCCATAATAAAGTTACTATGTGTCAGGTATTCTTCAAATGAACTCTCTTTTTTTTTTTTTTTGAGACAGAGCCTCAAGCTGTCCCCCTGGGTAGAGTGCCGTGGCATTACAGCTCATAGCAACCTCCAACTCCTGGGCTCAAGCGAGTCTCCTGCCTCTGCCTCCCAAGTAGCTGGGACCACAGGCGCCCGCCACAACGCCCGGCTATTTTTTGGTTGCAGCCATCATTGTTGCTTGGCGGGTCGGCTGGGGATTTGAACCCGCCACCTTAGGTGTATGTGGCTGGCGCCTTAGCCGGTTGAGCCATAGGCGCCGAGCCCAAATGAACTCTCTTAAACCTCACAACCACCTTTGAAGTATTATACCCATTTTTCAGATAAGAAAACAGGCACAGAGAAGTTACATAATTTGCCCCAAATTATATAACAATGAATAGTGGAGTCTTGCACTAAAGTGTGTGCTCTTCAAGCTAAGCTGTGCTGCCTTCCCTCCTATGGCAGGCCTTCCTTAGCCTGAAGGGAAGTTAGCTTTAAAAGGGAGGAAGTGATGGCCTCCCTTTGGCCTCTACAGCAGTTTTTTTTCTCATACCAGGGAGCTAATAATGGTTTTTAACCATCATGTAGTTCCTCAGAGAAGCGTACCTCTGCTCTAGAGGCTATGGATTATCTTTTTAGTAGAAAAGTTAATTCCTTTGCCAGATGATGGGGATAGATGTGGTTAGCAATTTTACGCTTCTAGTCCCTAATATAGACTTCCCTCGCTAAACTTGGGGGCAGGGGTGCTGAGGCAGTGGGTTTGTGGAATGTGTAGCATTCCTGTATACAATATGGGATGGGATCTGAGATGCAGTTGTAGAAACTCTTCAAAGGGTAATTCCTGTTAGCAACAACCAGTCTGACCCAGGCTGTATCTTGTAACAATTGCTGTTGCCTAATTAGGCTTGGTTCCCGTAGCTAGTGAGTAGGGCACTCACCACACACACCCAGGCTTGCTAAACAACGATAACTGCAACCAATAAATAGCAGCCACCTGTAGTCCCAGCAACTTGGGAGGCTGAGGCAAGAGAATCACTTAGCCCAAGAGTTTGAGGTGAGCTGTGAAGTCACGGTAGTCTACCAAGGGTGACATGGTAACACTCTGTCTCAAAACCCCCCCCAAACCCTAGATTAATAAAACTTAAAAACAAAATCTGCTAGAGGAATATCAGTTGTGAGGCTAGATAGGGTAGGGGGCCAAGTCCGCTAATCTTGGGCCCATACCTTTATACTGTCAGTTCCTCATATACAGGCAAGAAACCTGCATTCTTGAGCCACGAGTTTCTCATCCATAAAATAGAAACGTTGGGCCAGGTGGTGGTTGCTCACTTCTGTAATCCCAGCACTTAGGAGGTTGAGGTGGATGGATGGTCTGAGCTCACAGGTTCAAGACCAGCCTGAGCCAGAGTGAGACTTCCCCACCCCCGGTCTCTAAAAATAGCTAGGCATTGTGGTGGGTACTTGTAGTCCCAGCTACTTGAGAGGCTGAGGCAAGAGGATCATTTGAGCCCAACCCAAATTGAGGCTGCTGTAAGCTGTGATGCCACAGCACTACTGAGAGTGACCAAGTGAGACTGTCTCAAAAAAAAAAAAAAATGTTAACACAAAGTTCTTGGATTTTAATCATGGTAAAATGAGTATATGGGTCTAGCAAGTTGGTACAGGCTTAAGAGGGCAGCTGAGGAAAACTCCCCCCCACCCCCAGTCCTGGTTTTCATGTTTGGCTCTTTGTCCAGATTTATTCCCAGGTCTTGCAACATATTTGGGGGTCAGAGGCTCCTTTGAGAATCTGATGAAAATTTTGGACACTTCATTACCTTGCATAGCTTCAAAAGGTTCACAGGCCAGAGGAGGCGCACTCCTTTGACAGGCCATTGTCTTTCTCTAGTCTTTCTGATTTTTGCTCTCAACTTGGATGTAGATAGCCACCCTCTCCCATCTTCTTGGCCTAGGTTTACCCTTAAACTATTTCTCCCTGCTTCTTTGACTTCTTTGGAATTGCCAGCTCAAAAGAATCAAACACCCTTAGCCCAGACCAGGCATTGAGCCTGTTGGTCTGAATCCTTTTTACTCTAGCAGTGCTCTACTGAGATGACTGCTGTAAGCCATTTGACATGCTGAGCTTCTACTTTGGCTAAAATTAAAAGCTGCTTTAAGCCTGTTTCTCATCAAGTGGCTTCCTTCTTCAAGCCTGGGGCACATAGATCTCACCTGCGCAGTAGGGGTGCTGAGCCAGAGTGTGTGTGGAACATGGTTAATTGTCCCGGCTCAGTGCTCCTGTACCTGATAGGGGATTTGGGATCATGTTAGGGAACATTCTACACTGTATTTGTAGAAATCTACAAAGGAGAACCTGAGTAAAGCCTTTAAGGAAGGAAGAACAGCTATTGTGAGCCTCAATGCCTAAAACATCCACCTACAGCCTCACCCTGGGTGTGGCTCCTTCCTCTACTGTGGCACAACCATTTGCTCCATTCAACCTCTCCAGTGCTCCTGCCCACACGTTTTTTTTTTTTTTTTTTTTTTTTTAAGACAGTCTCACTTTGTAGCCCTTGTTAGAGTGCCAAGGTATCATAGCTTACAGCAACCTCAAACTCTTAGGCTCAAGCGATTCTCTTGCCTCAGCCTCCCAAGTAGCTGGGACTAGGCACCTACCACTATGCCTGCCTATTTTTAGAGATGAGGGCTCCCTCTTGCTCAGCCTGGTCTCGAACCCCTGAGCTCAGGCAATCCACCTGCCTCGGCCTCTGAGAGTGCTAGGATTACAGGTGTGAGCCAACGGTGCCTGGCCCACACAGGACTTTGATTTATGAGCTGCAGAGTCTAGTGAAAGGAGCTCTCCACAGTTTTTGCCAACAGAGTCCCCCAAATCCAGGCCTACTTAGTGCAAGTAAATATACTTTGACCCTTTTTTGAAATTTTACCTGGAAAAGTTTTTCCATTTCAGAGTCTTTCATCTTTTATTAGCTACCTCCTGCTCAGGGACAGCAAAAAAGTTTACAATTACTGCCAAGTCCCAACGAACTCTCCACCTGGAATGCATTTCAAACAGCTCCTCATGTATCTACACCCTCTTTCTCCCATTTCATCCCAGGCACTTACCTCAGAAGTAGAAAATCCCTGGGAATTTATCCAGAGTTGCCAAGCTCTCAGCTGTCTAACTTGCTCCAGTCTCATTTTCTTATAAATTAATCATTCGAACCCCTAAATGTCAGTACCCAAGAGGCCTGAGATCTATTTCCATGTTGCTGATAGAACAAGAGACTGAAGGGCTGTCCTGCTGCACTGCATAAACACTGCCACACAGTCCAGTCTTATGGCTGGACTGGGATCAGCTGCTTAGGTCTTTCTACTGGAGGAAGGAGCATGTACTTAATGTGTTTATTCCTTCAGCAAAATACTTGATTGGAGAGAGCACTTTAGAGTGCAGAAATAGGTGGTGCCTGTGGCTCAAAGGAGTAGGGTGCCAGCCCCATATGCTGGAGGTGGTGGGTTCAAACCCAGCCCCGGCCAAAAAAAAAAAAAAAAAAAAAAAAAAAAAAAAAAAGCGCAGAAATAGGTCTTTGTAATCTCCTATGAAGTATGGGGTGGGCTTGGCCACCTATAGCTCAGTGGCTAGAGTGCCAGTCACACACACCGGGGGTGATGGGTTCAAACTTGGTCCCAGGGCCTGCCAAACAACGACAGGTACAACCAAAATACAGCCAAGCCTGTGGTGGGGGCCTATAGCCAGCTACTTCGGAGGCTGAAGCAAGAGAATCACTTAAGCCCAAGAGTTTGAGGTTGCTGTGAGCTGTGACAGCATAGTTCTCTACAGTGAAAGTGACACAGTGAGACTATCAAAAAAAAAAATATATGAGTGGCGGTGGACAGCTGTCAATTTAGCTAAATGCTGCCTGGATGATTCTTTGCTTATATCCATTTGATTCTTGTTCCATATTTAATTTTTTGTCTCTTTTTTGAGACAAGAGTCTTTTGTCGCCCTCAGTAGAGTGCTGTGGCATCATAACTCACCGCAACCTCAAACTCCTGGGCTCAAGTGATTCTCTTGCCTCAGCCTCCCAAGTAGCTCACAGTACAGGTGCCTGCCACAATGCCTGGCTGTTTTAGAGATCGGGTCTCACTTTTGCTCAGGCTGGGGGCAAACTTGTGAGATCAGGCAATCCACCCACCTTAGCCTCTGAGAGCTAGGATTACAGGCAGGAGCCACTGTGCCAGGCCGGCCTCCATGTTTAATTATTATTTTCTGAGACAGGGTCTCACTATGTCACCCTTGGTAGAGTGCTGTGGGGGTCACAGCTCACAGCAACCTCCAACTCTTGGGCTTAAGCAATTCTCTTGGCTCAGCCTCCCAAGTAGCTAGGACTACAGGTGCCCACCACAATGCCCGGCTATTTTTTTGTGGCAGTTGTCGTTGTTTAGCAGGCCCAGGCTGGGCTTGAACCCACCAGCCTGGATACATGTGGCTGGTGCCCTAACCACTGAGCTACGGGCACTGAGCTGTCCATATTTTATTTAAATGAAATAATTACAAAGTTCATGTAGACCTATGCTGAAATGTTTTCCCTAATAGTGGGTTCCCTCCACAGACAATAACTAATTTTTTTTTTCTTTTGGGGAGAGGGGTGGCACACAAAATAGAAGGTTGAACCACAAAGCTTTCCGTAGTGGTGTAGCACCCAGTGAGGATAAATGGTTCTTTTTTCCCTATGCATGGGGAGCCCAGGGCTTTCGGCTTGTTGCTTAATTGTGGTACTGGCTTTACAAATTAACACAAAAGATTAGTTTGATTGGCTCGGCGCCTGTGGCTCAAGTGGCTAAGGTGCCAGCCACATACACCTAAGGTGGTGGGTTCGAATCCAGCCCCGGCCCGCCAAAAAAAAGCAACAATGATGGCTGCAACCAAAAAATAGCTGGGCATTGTGGGGGGTGCCTGAGGTCCCAGCTACTTGGGAGGCTGAGGCAGGAGACTCGCTGGAGCCCAGGAGTTGTGATGCCATGAC